CCGACTGTTAAACTATTACTTTATGCGTAAAGAGACGCAAGTATTATGAAAAAAAGAGCATTTTCTTAATTCCGTACAATTATTTTTTTCTTTATTCTGGAGACTCCATAATATTCCAGCTTAATTTTTTCATTCACTGGATGTAAACGGTTTCCATAGCTTCAAGTTATTTTTAGCTTCTTGAAAAAATAGCCTCTGTTCTCGATAAAAATAGTCTAGCATTCATTATTTTGTCACTTATATTTGAGAAATACGACATTTGATATAAAAATAAACAGAAGAATAATTGTGATAAACGTCAACGTATAATTTTGCTTAATCTTAATGTATAGTTTCTACTATTCTAACTATAAGGTTATCGAAATTGATCTTGACAAAGAGTTTTAATTATATATTTAAGACCCTAATCGATAATTGAAACAAAAAGAAATGATCATGGACATGGCCGCTGTGTCTAAAAGTATTCTGCCTAACGCGTTTGGAATCTGATATTTAGAATCATTCCGCTTATATATATATTTAGCATTCATGAACATCAAAACATTTCAGTTTTTTATATATCGGTGACAGACAGATTGCTAATGCGTTCTATATAAATCTTACACACACACACACACACACACACATACACACACACACACGTGACGGCTATTATCTAATATTACGAAATTTACATTCATTCTCTTTGAACTTATTTTGATTATAAAACTAGATATATCGTAGTATCTATACATTATTTATTTATAAATGCATCTATATTTAATCCATTGTGTTGAAAAAAAAATCATTTAAACTACGGTACAAGCTGCATTTATTCTCCGAAACATACAACCTTGATATTTGTGTGCGTCTCCGCGTGCATTCCAAAAATAGCGCATAGTAGTAATGCTTTAAAGCGAACTGCCTGATGTCTTGGGTTCCCCTGCCCAGTCTCAGTCAGTCTATCGTTTCTTATCCGCGGTGTATACACGCTCCGCTCTAAAAATCGAAAAAAGTTTGCGTTTAAAATATCGCAGGCCGTAATAAAATCTCGCAAATCATTTATGTGAATGTTACGAATCTCGCGGAAAGAGCTGCCGATGCTGTAGTGCCTCGTAATAACACTTCGCACGTGACGCAAATCATGTCTTCGTACAGAAAGGGAGCACAGACTAAGCCAACAACAGCTGCAGGCTTACGAGCTCAAGCGTCAACAAATGGGCAATCAATTTTTGGAAACAGGTCACGGATCGGTGGTTTGCTCTCGTTAAATCCAAATAATTTAACATTTAACGCGGGATTATTGGGCGTAAAATCTCCAAATCTATATTCCGGATCTAATTTTTTGAATAAGAATAAAAAGAGTAGCAATTTATTTCGAACAACTCCTTTCACGAAGTCTACGAACAGTCCGAATTATCAGAATCTTTTCACGACATATGGTGGAACGTCAACGGGATATGGTGGTGTGACTTTACCTTCTCACACAGCTGTCAGTCCTTTGAATCTGAGTCCATCTCCCAGTTACAATTATTTAAATCTAAACGTAAATACTCGGCCACATATGCAAAAAACCGAGAGTTTTAAGAGATCGAAGGTAAAACCGAATCTTAATATCGGTTCGAGAAGTTCCAGTTTACAAAGTTTAACTAGTTCTGAGGGATATGTTGTAAGCAATTTCCTTGATTTTTGCATCTTAAATCTCTTATAAAACTTCCAGGATTTTGGAATATTTTCAAATAATGATTTTGATTAAACTATTATTTTTTTCTTTTTATTTAAACATATTTTGTATACGTAAATAAATTAAATATGGATTTAATAATATAACATTCAGTAATATTAATATTATCGAATATTATATTATTAAATTCACATTTATACCCAATTTTTATTAATATTACAGATTATAATTTTTTTAGAGTAATAAAAATTTGAGAAATGATACAATTGTAATAAAAATTTATGTTTAATCTTTTTTCTCTTTTAGAGCGGAAACGATCGTTCTGGGAGAGCTACTAGATTAGGTTCGATATCTTCGCTATCATCAGAAGCTTCATCAACACCAATCAGATTAAAATCCAATAGTTCCGAAAACGGTGAATTAGATTATAAGAAATTATACGAAGAATCTCAGGTCGAGAATGAAAGGTTAAAAGATAAACTGAAGCGCTCCGACGAACAATTAAAGGAAGTCAGGCATTTATTGGAAAAAATGCAAATCAACCAAAATAAAGTAATTCTCTCTGAGGCAGAAAAAAGGGAAAGGCGAGCCATGGAGAGGAAACTTTCAGAGATGGAAGAAGAATTGAAGGTAAGTTCGCAAAGATTTAATACACTTCCTACATTATGAATCTGTTATGTATGTGAAAGCGAATGGAAGAAATGCTTTCATACGTTGAATTGAATGATGAGAAGACTCGACACAATTGTCTGTGATTTTGTGTACGAATATACGTATGAGTATATTTACAATTTTAGATTTTTTAGTTAGTTACACACCGTCATCTCTTTTTTTCTTGTGTTGCTGTGACTGCTAGCGGCAAGCAAAAACAGCAATGATTATTTTTGTACGAAGACCCGATCGCTTCGGTTATATGCTTTTCCTTACCTGGCAATTTTACGCAAATTGGCGCTTTACTCTCTTTCTTATTCTCTATTTCCAATTGGTACTCATTTTCTCTTTTTTTTTTTTGGCGGGATACAATAATTTTCAATAATCCATTTTGTATTTTCACTGAGTTCCGCTTCTCAGAATTTCCAGCGTAGTTTTAGCGGGGAATTGCACGCGGTTTTACTCGCCTGTTAATGGAACGCGAATTAGTTATTTATTTTTGGCTATTTTGGGACTCGCAAAAACAATGGCGGGGTTTTAGGCTAATTGTTTAACTGTTTACAGCAATTGCAAAAGCTCAAAGCTGAAAATGAGAGATTGAAAGCCGAAAATCGGGCACTTACCCGCGTCGTATCCAAACTCACCAATACTAAATAGGTAAAGGACACAATGACAGCATCTGCGTTTACGATAGACATCGTATCTCACGTACAACATTAATTAATTAATTACTCTTTTAATCGAATGATTAATTATAATTTTGTGTTCTGATCGCCAATATTAAAACAAAAATGATACCACTCATCATACTTATCGTACAAATCAGCTTTGCAAAATACATTCCAATATATAACGCGTATCGTTAATCAATTTTTAATTAAAGGTATCAATTTACTTTTATAAAAGAGAGACTTCAGGCTTTCTATAATACATATGTTTTACTCTAAGTATTGCAATCAATATTGTACATTCATGTATCTTCTTGTGTGATACTAATAATACTTTTATTTCTGCAATGTATTATCAAGGCAGTTATCTTACGCATATAATTACGTATATAACATATTTTATATATGTATAAAATTTTTCAAGATGTTTCAAATTCCAAACGTGACAATTATAATAAATTATCCCGGCTAATTGTGTGATGCATGTTATAAATAAATTATTTAATAATACATTTACTAAAAAAGAAAAACAAATTTTTAACAAGAGATAAGAAAGAACGCAGTCTGTCATTTATAAGATGCATATAGGAATGAATATAGCTATCACAATTTTAACTTTAGGAAACTTTCCTCCTTATAAAACCATCATCCAGAACATGCAGAATAACATCAGTAAACTGAATGCCATCATCAAGCATCGATCATTTTAGCACGTGTTTCACATAAAGACAAAGCCATGACTCTGCAGTTAATTATTCTTTTCAGTTTATTTATCTTAATCATAACTGTGTGAAAATTATTCAATTCCCAAAACATATTCGACTGTTAAAATCTCAACACATATTACACTGTATTAACTTAGATTTTCACCTCTGTCTCTCTCTCTCTCTCTTTCTTTCTAAGAAAGCATGTTAAATGTTAAATTGTTGCACTTTATTGCACTTTATAGAATTTAAAAAATAGCCAATCCACAAAATTGACATTAATCCCTCTTTAACTTTACGTATAATATTGCATACTCATCATTATTCCATGGTATGCATTAGAAAGCTTTCGTATCAACGATATTATTTTGTAGTATTCAAAAAGTGCTCAACAAAAAATATGACAAATGACAGTTGCAATTGTAACATAAAATTATTTCTTGCATATGAAATGCCCCTACTACTTGAAGTCAAATGTTGTATCAATAAGATAAGAATAATTTTGCATTACTAAATTGTCTTAATTATTCGCTAATTAAGTCTCGCTCTTAGATTGTGTATGAGTTTGAGGATAAATTTGCGAACTTTTTTGTAGACTATTTGTATATATGAAAATTTCCAAGAGTCGGATTTGTATCTAAACAATTTGTTTGAGTTATTTATCAATATCAATGCAATATTAATTAAATGTAAATAATTATAAAGGAATATATACTTGTGTATAAATGCAATGATTAACTTGAAAGAAATAAAGTGATTCTGATCTGATATGATTCCGTATTATATATAATACGATGATCATAAATTGATGAAACGCTTTTGCTATTCGCGGTCATTTTTCAGTTCTCTTATCTGTATCTGAACATTTATTAATTTTTGCTAGTACATACATTACCCGAATACTTTAATGACTTTTGGTTGCAGTAATATTTGTGAGTGTCTCTTTCCATTTATCCTCCTGTTGTTTTGTGAGCACTGAAATTATTCCGTCTATAACGGCATTATTTCTTTGTATTCTCCTCTGCTGTGTTCTTAATTAGCGCATAAGAATTAGTATGATATTTTTTTTCTAGGTGATGGACCAACTAAAATGCGAAAATCAGAGGCTAAAAGATGAAAATGGTGCCTTGATCAGAGTAATCAGCAAATTATCCAAATAAATCTTGTAGTCTCAACTACACATCGTAATGAAATTTTAAGTTGTATTACAATTATGTTGAATGAATTGCTTTAATTATAGCAGCATCATCATTATCGCTAGTATTCTTACAAATCTTGCGTCACGCTATCGATGAATTTATCTTTATAGTTATTTAACTTATTCCAATTGTGAGATCAATTAATCGCATGGCTGTGCCAAAGGCGAAAAGAAATGTTACTCCTATTCTTAGACTGTGAATACTTGATTGTAAAAGACTTAGAGGAATTTTACTTTGTGGAATTACTTTTTATAATGTCAGAAAGATAAATTTTATAATCCACTATATAAAATCAATTTAATGCTTTATAGTAAAAAAAAGTCAGGTTTATTTTATTTGACTATTAGGAAAGAAAGAAAAGAACTGTTAATCTTTACGGACAGTTTTCTTTTTTAACAAATCGCGTTATCAATGTTGATTCTTTATAAGGACATTTTGTAAATACAGACAAATAGACAATGGTGATGTGGCATTTTAGTAATTTGAAAAAAAAAGAATTTTTACTCGCGAAGTAAGTTTTTGTGAAACACTCTGACTACATACAAACAAATCCATAATGTATCGAAACTGTTTGCATTGTCGAAGCAATAAGCGATATATCTGTCTATTACTCCTGATGAAATTATGGTGATAAAGGAGTCAAAGAACATGACCTTGCTACTCAAGTGGCCTTTCTCTGAAGACTGCAATTTGTAAATCCTTCCATCATTGCCATTTTTGCAGTATAAGCAGAAATTTGATGCATATACGGGAGTAAATGTTTTTAATTACTCTGTAATATAATACATTTTCTTATATAATATCACAGATATGTAAAATATACTTTAGACACATTGGGATTTTTAATCTCCTTAAAGTGCTAAAATTACTGTATGTTAGAGCTGTGGTAACTTCAGTTCGAACTGTTGATGTAGAAAATCTGTGTTATTATTTTTAACTACCTGTCCAATATAAAATGCTGTTACCTATTATTTTCTTATAGCAACACCAATAATGATTGTCCAATACGTTCTGGATAAAGACGAATTTATAAATATTGAATAATGGAATGTGTAATTGACAGTTGGCATGTTTTTTAATGATATTATTGTAAACAATTGTAAAAAATGATGACTCAATGTAGTTATTTCGTAATGAAGTTTATTAGAAAATAATATTTGTGTAAATATTTAATACAAACTTATATGTGTGTGTGGACCTATTTTTATTATTTTATAAACTTAAGTCTATAATGGAATTCCTTTATATATCTGTAATAATATTATATATTCTTTAAAATATTTACATTGATAAAAATCCTTATATAATATAGCATAATGTGATTAATCAACAGAGTCATATACAATTAAAGGTAAGTAATCAATATAAAACTGCTTTTAATTAAAATTTGAATTATTTTTATTTGCAATATATCATCTCACAATACTAACTCATTAATAGATTTATTGTAATTCGTTCCCTCTTCATTTTATCATACTATTATTTCAGTAATCGTTCCATAATTTTTGCAACAATAGCCAAATTTGCACGTTGTTCCGTAGTCTTTGCTATTTCTCCCATTAATGCGTTAAAACATTTTTTCTTGCCACTTTTATATGCTGATACAAGTTTTGGATTTTTTTCTATAATTTCTAAACATATTTGTTCTAATTGTTTCTCATCTGATATCAGGAACCAATTGTGCTCTTTAACGATCTATGTGTAATAAATAAAATTAATTATATGAATGTAAGTTGAAAAAATATTTAAGCTGTAAATACCACATATTTTTTGTGAAAAAATGAGATTTTTACCTCCTTTGGTAGTTTATTTGAATTGACTATTAATTCCTTCAAAATCTTTTTTGCCGTTATTAAATTAATTAAATTGCCTTGTAATAAATCAATCAATTGACCAATAAAATCTTCATGTGGTACACTGAAAATTTATGAGGTATTTTTTATTTCGAAACATTATCTTACTTAAAAAGAAGAGGCTTACCAAAATTCAATCGTTAGTTTATTTTTATAAAGAAAAGTCAACAGTTCCATGACGAGAAATTTAGCGACCAGTTGCGGTTCACGATTCTCATTATTTTTTGTTATTCTGTTAAATAATTGTAATAATGCAAAGTCACTCTAAAAAAATATAAAATATTTTAAAAAATGTTTGTACTTGTTTCATTATAGAGCATACCCAAGATTTACCATTAAAGCTATAATTATTTCAGGAGATATCTTAAAAACGTCCTTTAATCTCTGACGTATTTGCTCCGGCAACTCGGGTAGTTGTCTTTTCAGTACTACAGCATCAACTAAATTGCTTTTATTCGGTAAATCTTCTCTAAGATGTATGCATAAAGGTGGTAAATTTGTTTCAGGCATAAATCGGTAATCCTGAAAATATTTAAGGTGATTTCAATAATTCGTAATATAAGAGTAGCAATGTAAAATCGAAATGCTATGTTACTTCTTTGTCTTCTTTTTCACGCATAGGAACAGTTTTCTTATTCACCGCATCCCAAGCGCGAGTCTCATTGAACATCTTATCACCGACCTCAAGAATAGAAATATGCCTATTTATTTCATATTGAATGGCCGCAGCGACAGCACGCACGCTTCCAATATTCTTTATTTCCGTTCGAATGCCTAAACTATCTCGGTTGCTTACAGAAACGTTGGCATCCACGCGAAGTGCTCCTTCTACAATTTATAAAAAGATAATAAAAACCGATATATCACACACACACACATAGTTGTATAAAAATACAATAACTTGAAAATAATTTTTCAGCAAACAACCTTCCATTTTGCTGCTACAGACACCCAGTAACTGCAACATAAATGCAAGCTCCTTTACAAGCGCAGCCGCTTCTTCACCATCGACCAAGTCTGGTTCAAACACGAATTCCATCAAAGGTATTCCGGCTCGATTAAGGTCAATCAGACTTCTAAAATATAGAAATATCAAGTATCAATTTTTATTAATTTTCGAACAGAACCAAATAGCAATCAGCTCAATACTTTGCTACATTTTCATCATGCAAACTTTTGCCACTGTCCTGCTCCAATTGAATCTGTTTAATTTTGGAAGATTTCAAGTATGGAGACTTGTGCAGTCCTGGAGTGAAAACATGGAACTTAATTTCACCATTAACAGCAATAGGTTGTCCTTGTTGAGTGATTTGAAATCCTGCCTAAAGAATTTGCACTAATAAAGATAATAACGATAAGTATCTATTTTGTTTGATAGCCTTATCACTCACAGGCAAGTCTGCGTAGAAGTAATGTTTCCTTTCAAACAAAGAAGTCTCATTCAATTGGCAGGATAGCGCCAAGGCAGTCATCACTGCTAATTCTACACATTTCCTGTTCAATACCTACAATATATACATATCTACGACAATAATTAATATTTATTGTAACAATTTGCAAAGTTAATTATTTTTATTTACTCAAGAAAGAGTATTTCTGCAAAACACAAATTAACAATAATATTACATCATATTATTATTACCAATTTAACAATATAAATATAACAAATGTTATAACAGTTACATTGTTGAATAGGAAATTATAATATTGATTTCATATTACTGTATTAGTTTACGTTCAGTAGGTGATTTATTATAACCGATTATTAATAACTCACAGGTAATGTTCCTGGTATGGCGCAGTCAAAGAATGAAACGCACGAATTAACCGGGCTGGCAAAATTGGTAGATGCACTAGAAAACAATTTTGATTCCGTAGCAATCTGAGCGTGGATCTCCAAACCCACAGTGGACTTCCATCTCTCTCTAATTGTAAAAAAGAGGCAATACAATTAATAATTTAATTCTGACTCTCTAAAACATAATGAATATTTAATGAAGTAAATATGCGACTGTTATATATCTCGGGAGTGACATAACAGGAATTATTTACATTCACAAACATTATTATAACCTAACCTAATCTAATTACTTACCGTACTTTTACATCTTTTTGATTTTTGATTGAGAGAAAACGCCGCAAAGCATTGTTGTTTCGCTTTCGAATCCATTTATGCGCGAAGATAAGACATAATTGTCTTGAGAACATTTTTCATTGATTTTCCAGCATAAAATTCAGAAGAAAAGCCACGAGTTCTTCATGGGAAAAACAACAATTCAGAATTGCCAATTGCTACAAGTAGGGCAGGGCAGGGAGTTTTATATGCCAATATTGCAAATTGCATGGATCCGGTCATTGAACCGCTATTTTGAATATATCTTATTTAAAATATTTTGTAAATATTTTTAAAAAATTTATAAATATCCATGATTTTGTAAGAATTGATAATTTTTATATTTTTGTAATATATCATTGATATTATATTAATAATCTTTTAAAAATATTGATTTTGAGGTTTATATGTGTAGAATTATTTCTTTAATATACGATCGGAAACTGCGATATATCTGGCCATTTATCTTATCAATCAATTCGGTAAGGCATGTGATTCAGTTTTCTTATGTAAGAGAAATAAAGTCACATACGACGATACTTTAAACAACTTACATTTATTTGTGAATGTAGAAAATCTGTTTGCGTACAAAATGTATCGTGCAATGCGAGTTATACATAGTTTTTAACAATTAGAATAGAAACAATTGTTCTATTACTTATTGATTGTTGCTTTAACACTTTATGACCCTACAAAACGCTTTTCGTTGATGTCGCTTCCCTCGTTCTCCTGTTAATCCTGTCATTAGAACACTGGTAAACAGTTACCATGACGCAGATTATCATTAGTGCCACTCATCCATTTAGAAAAACCAACAAGGCTGTCAAAAACCATGTAGTTCCCAAGAGATCGTTTTGTATAAGAAATAAAGGAATAAAGAATAATGAGGCTGTTGGCGAATGCTGAAATTTACTCAGTGGCATCATCCTTAGATACACTAAATGGTTCTGTCACTGTCTCTGCGCCGCTATCGGCGATGACTATGTCCTTGCGTGGCTTATCTCGTGAGTCGGTGCTCGTTTGCTCAATCTTGCGCACTATATCCTGCAACAAAATATTGAAATTATAAGTCTGCTTTTTTTTAACATTTTACATCGTTTCTCTTCATTTTTTTCTCTCCAAAGTGAAAAGAAAAATAAAAAAAATTAATGAAAAGAACAAGCTTTACTTAATTAATGGAGTAAAGTAAAAAAGTGCATTCTCTGTAAGTTATTGTAATAATAACAAGTAAACAGTGTTCTTCCCATTCTCCTTTGATAATCTTGCCAAAGATGACACGTAATAATAACAAATAAACATTGTAACAGTGTT